TGTTTCAACTCATAATATCTGTCCCGACCCTTGAGCACTTCAGTGACTCAATGTGTAAGTCGAATAAACATTTGCAAGTATCGTGGTGGTTTTAGTTCATTATGAACACAGAAGGAACTTGCTCTCGAACATAAGTTGTTTATTTATTCTTATATCTAAATTTCTTCATGTGAAAAATTGTCCAAGGTTGCGTGTTTTTATAGTTGGTTGCGTGCTGATTTACTGTTTGCAAAATATGCAGAAAGTGTACATGTTCATAGGCTTTTATTTCTTAATTTGTTAAGTATCGACAAAAGTTTTGCCTAGCGATCATGGCATTAATTGCATGTGCGTGTTGAAGTGGACTATATACAAGTCGCGGGATAAATAATTTTGGTTAAATTTTGTATATAACCTCGTTTTGGTTTTCTCAAGAGAATTCAGAATGAATACGTATACTTTTATTGCACAAATCCTCGTGAAATAAGTTCTTACTAAAATAGATTCTAACTATCATAGAACAAATAGACCAATGTCAATTACCTTCAATGTTCAATTTCGTGCCATGCATATATATTATTTTCAGATATTATTTTCAGTGTACCTGAAACTCTTCTCATGTTATCCAGGTGCTCAGAATATAATTTGAAGCTGTTGAAAAATTGAATCTCGTGAACACATTTCAATCATTGCCATTTCTCATACCTATCGCTTTCCACTTAGTGGAATCATTTAAACGCTACCAAGAAATTTTGTAAGTATCTAAACGTCAATATTCCGTTCCTGCACTTATTTCTTCCTTCTTCACGCCAATCATGCTCCTCGTCGTGATATCCTTTTGCAGGAGCCAAGCTATTTAAGTATAAGTTAGTAAGTAAGAAATCCCCTTGCCACAATCCTGAAGTGTCTCGGCATGTGTCGGCATCTTTTAGTGAGCGCACTTAAGCAATGCGGCAGGCGCTACGGTGTGGAGTATCTTGCATTGTTTAAGGTCAGCCAGAGAAGCTTCTTTTATTAGAGTTGAGAAGCAGGCTTCGTATGCGGCAAAGTAGGCCTATTTGCTTGCCTCTTGGGCCGGCACTTTCTCACTCGCCTAATTTCACAGTCTCACACTTGCAGCCCGACTACAGCGATCTCCTCATATCTTACCCCGGCTTTGACCCCCTCATATCTAAAAACCCTCAAAAACCCCTTTAATCTTCCAACAAATACGAAAAAATAAACTTTCAAATAAACCGAAATCACCTCGAAACGACAAATAAAACAAACTTAAAAAAGTGTTTCCCCACAAACTCGGTTTGGGAATCCAGAGAGTCGATTGGCCGCTGAGCTTTGGCCAATCGTCGGTGTGGTGCGCTATCGCTTTGCCAGCCAGGGAGGGGGGATCTCCCCGAAGAAGTGGTGGGGAGCTGTGGAAAGGGGAAAGGGGAGGAAAGAACTCACACGTAGAGAGGGAAAAGCAGGAGGTGTGGGGCAATAAGGGGAGAAGGGCGGGAAGGAATGCTGCTGTGAGTTTAAGCGAGTTTTAACCGCACGAGGGAACCGGAGTTACTCGACTCTCCAAGCTGTCTTTCAATAACATTTATATCTGATTTCCGCGGCAGCTTCCAGAGCTTAATGTATTCCTTTAATAAATGTTTGAGCGTGAGACACAGTGCCGCCGCTTCATATTCATGCGCTGCACGCTTTTGCTGGCTTGTCCGCGCAATAACTTGCATTTGCGATACCTTCTCGATATTGCCTTCACAAGCAGATTTACTTACCGAGAACAAGAAACGGAATTGCTACCGCAGTTCTTCCCAGATATTGACTGTATAAAAGTTTGTCTTTGCAAACGAAAGTGAGTATTGCGCCAGCTCGCTCTTCGTGTCCTGTATTTGAATCTATTTTTCGTGTTGAAGAAAAATCACGGAAAATAGTACAAATTTGTAATGTTATTATATATGTGTAAAAATTTTTACATAAATTACCTTATTATTTGAATTTCACATGCCGCCTGTATAAAAATTCAACAATTGCCTAGAACTATTTATAGCTTTCATTAATTGAAATCGTATGTGACATGAATTCAATAACCAGGTTTCAGGAGTTACACAAAAAGCGAAAACGATGTTTTTGTATTTTTAAACTACGAATTGTCAGAAGGTAACCCACATATATACGTATTTATACTTGTATAGATCGGCTTCACTGAAATCGGTTGGAAATATAGCAAAAAAACATAAAATCTTTATAAAAAGTTGTGACAAATGTTTCCTTGTTATTTTTTTTAGTGAGATCGAGCATCAGTTCAACTTTTCTGTTCAAACAAATGAATGATTTTATTCAGATTTTTAATACTATTAATTCAAGAATAATAGAAATTTGCTCTAGACGCAATTTTAATTATCACTTAAATTACCTATGGAAACGAAATTGAAGTAGCTCTAATATTCCTCAACTATATACAGACATATGTACACTACGATTGATACGTCCACTGCGAATTAAATGTCTCAAATAATAAATAATATTAATAAATAAATGCCTCAAATTAAACTAATATGTCAAGAATAATTGAGATGTCAACAACGTCTTATGTGCCTATAGTAGCCACCGATGTGTCAATATAGCGTCTTATGTGCCAAGAATTGGACCGATGTTTCAAAAGCTAATCCAAAATACCGAAAATTTGAGGGAATCTTACAGAATTTTTCCAATATGTCGAAAATTGTATCGATATGTTGAAAATTCGATCGATTTATCGAGAATTTGACCGAGGGTCAACGGACGTTTGTGTTAGGCGTGTAATCGTACGAGAGAAGTTATCCGTGAAGGAAACTCGGACGCTTGAAGGAAACTTCGCCTGTCGTATGCTTGAAGTGGGACGGAAGTAGCTTGGCGTGCGGCGCAAATCCGTGAAGCTGCTCCTTCACCATGCTTACTTAACGAAAATCAGCGAAATTTAGCGAAACTCGCTGGAACGTGGCCACTAACGTAAGACCTATAAGACCTATTGACCCGCCGACTCCATTTCCCCCTCTGTGAGGCTCACCCCAAGTCTTTGGCTTTCACGCCTCTGCGCCCCGCTGGCTGGCGTGTGGCGGTGCATGGCATCTACACGACCGCTTCATTGCAGGGGTTGTGATAAGCGCTTCATTCTTTGTATGTTGACTTCTTTTATATTCGGGGCACAGGGCCAAGTGGCCTATTAATTGATCAATTTATTCAACTTATTCAGAATAAGAGCGTTGTATTAATTGCCTTGACATACTGAGCCGGTTGTATATAATACGTTTTTAAATGATTTTTCTTTGTTGTATAGTAGTGGTGCACTATGACCTTGCGTTTCTTTGGCCACGCACAATTTGGTAAGTCTTTTCCACAAGGCATAAATTTTCTCAAGGTTCAGCTATAGCATTTTGTGTGGAACAATATAAAATTTGTCGTATATTGCGAGGACTGGCATCGCAGCGGCGCTCTGGCCAAGTGTCATGGCGCCCCTCATAGCTTCATCAACGTCTCTGGGGCTAGAGCTGAAATTTTGTGCCAGGCGTTCCATCCAGCGCAGCCTTCCAGCTAGGAAAGTTTGATGCTGGCCTAATTGACGTCTGCTTCACTAATTGAGGCATCAGTAATTTTGTGGCGGCTTTTTGTTGGTTTGAAGCGAATTACCTGGTGCTTTGGAGCTGTGTTTTTGATGATGTGGTCGAGATAGGCGTTCAAGTGCCTAATTTTGCGTGGAAAAGGCTCGGTTTTTTGACGGCTCGCTACTTCATTACGCTGAGATTCCTTGTAGCCGCGCTACGCAACATATACGCGAGATGCACGCGCACTGTGGACGCGTAAAGTTAGTATAGTTACAAATTTTTATGTGGACTAATAAAACGGCTGTTGCTGTATATTCAATTTGAAGGTGAAGTAACTCGAATTTCTCTCTTAGTAACCATTCCACACTAATTATTTAATAGAATTTTGCAGGTTTGTGATTTCCGATTATAATTCTCAAGTTATATTCTCATGTATTTTGTTATGTTTTAATCATTATCGATGCAAACTTGCAAATTTATTAAAATTACAAGTTTTGTTCAAGTTCTGTAATTCCGAGAAAATAATTCCTATCTCTCCAACGGCGCAGTCTCGTTTTAAGTGTTCAGTATTCATGTTACTTATTGACGACTTGTACTGTTACTATAATTTATAGCTCGCATTTTCTTGCCGATGACATCTCCCGGTGGTTCATACAATTAAAGGCTTTGGAAATTGTTGGTCGTGCAAAATTTAAGCACAAAATCTACGGCATCTCTTCAACACATTTCATTTAAACGTTTACTTCAAACTACGATGTATTTAATAATAATTTACAATTCTTTGTTTGTGAGCTATCCGCGGAGTGTTCAGTGTTCAAATTCAGTTCGTTGAATCACCGCAAATCCTGTAGCACCTATCATCCTGTTTTTTACTAAATTTAAATTCCGTTTTTGACGTTGGTGGACTCGGTTTTTTTATTCCAACTATTATTTACTTGTCAATTGTCATGGTCCTTAATTGACTCGTATTATGTCTACACTCGTCAGAATGAAACACATTTGTTGTCTTTGCTAATAATTAATTATAATCTCCCTATATCTTGTACTGAAGCGATGAATGGCGATTATAAGTTGATTGGCAGCCGAGAATCTGTTAATAATATAATAGTAATCCAGAAATTTTGGACTAAAGCAACGAGAGGCGATTAAAACAGTTGATTGGCAGCGGAGAATCTGCTAATAATTTAATAGTCGTCCAGAAATCTTGTACTGCAGCAACGAGAGGCAATTAAAACAATTGATTAGCAGCTGAGAATCTGTTGATAATATAATAGTATAGGCCAGAAATCTTGGACTAAAGCAACGAGATCGAGGCGATTAAAACAGTTGATTAGCAGCTGAGAATCTGTTAATAATATAATGGTATAGGCCAGAAATCTTGTAGTGAAGCAACGAGAGGCGATTAAAACAGTTGATTAGCAGCTGAGAATCGATCGGTGTTCGCTCTCTCAGGATGAGCGGGGCGGCTGCGGCCGAGCAAAACGACCTCAGCGGCCAGCACTCGGCTACCGATTTTTCAATCGCCACACTCTTGTGCGGTAAAAGAGGTGAGGCCCATCTTGTTTAGGTCAATTATTGTAGTTCAATTCTTATGCAGTTTAATTCATATGCAGTTGAATTCATATGCAGTTAATTGAATTCATATGCAGTTGAATTCAAATGCAATTGATTTCATATGCAGTTGAATTGATGTTGTAGAACTTGTATGATTGATTGATAATTCCGTCCTCAATATAATTTAAACTGTGGACGGATATTATATAAGTGACTGAGCTGTTGGTTTTGTTTTAGATGTTCTGATCGGGTTTACTAGACGATCGCAATTTCCATTTTAGAGTAGATATATATTTTGAAGTCACATCAAGTTTGATATGTAAATTTTTCTAGTTCTCTTAATAAATTTACTGGTTCCTATTTTGGCTAGACTCTGACAAAGATTTTATATTTATAGAGATATTCTCTCAGATAATTATTTCCATCTCCAGCGGTTTTTCGAATCCGTGCCCCTGTTGTTATTATTATAAAAGTTGTACCATTCATTGTTCCGTAGATTTTTACATGCATTTCCAGCGGTTCATAGTTCAAGGATTCAATTTTAGATAAAAAAACCACCATCCAATGAATGTATAAAATAATTAATACCGGTATTTATTAATATGCATGCATGATTGGCGTTGAAGGATCTAACTGCTTGTCGAGTCAGCGAATTGTATTGCATTCGTCTAAATTGGCGGCTGACTTAGGGACGCTGCGTAGGTAGAGTGCAGCAACTCCCCCCTGCCGTGGCCTGATGTGCCATTTGTTATCCTGAGCCTCGTAACAGCTTGCGTGTCTTGCCACCAATTTGGTGACTGTCCCTTGTGCTCCTCGCTCAGGTCTGACGCGTGTTACTATAACACGCTGATAGACACGTGTTACTACACGCCTAGACACGTGTTACTACACACCTAGACACGTGTTCCTATACGCCTTCTAACACATCCCGCTCAGGCTTGACGCGTACGTGTTACTACACGCCTAGATACGTGTTACTACACACCTAGACACGTGTTACTACACGCCTTCTAACGCATCCCGCTCAGGCTTGACGCGTGTTACTACACGCCTAGACACGTGTTATACTACACGCCTTCTAACACATCCGCTCAGGCTTGACGCGTGTTACTACACGCCTATAGACACGTGTTACTACACGCCTTCTAACACATCCCGCTCAGGCTTGACACGTGTTACTACACGCCTAGACACGTGTTATACTACACGCCTTCTAACACATCCCGTTCAGGCTTAGACACGTCACCACACGCCTAGGCACGTGTTACTACACGCCTTCTAACACACCCTTCTCGGGCTTATAGACACGTGTTACTACACGCCTTCTAACACACCCTTCTCGGGCTTATAGACACGTGTTACTACATGCCTTCTATAACACATCCCTCTCAGGCTTAGACACGTGTTATACTACACGCCTTCTAACACACCCTTCTCGGGCTTATAGACACGTGTTACTACATGCCTTCTAACACATCCCTCTCAGGCTTAGACACGTGTTACTACACGCCTTCTAACACATCCCTCTCAGGCTTAGACATGTGTTACTACACGCCTTCTAACACATCCCGCTCGGGCATAGCTATATAGACACGTGTCACTACACGCCTTCTAACACATCCCCTCTGATCATCTAGCTGCCACAGATGTCCGGACAAAAAATTTCGATGAGTGATCAAAGCAATTATAATATAATGATTCTTTCGCGATTTGCTTTACTTACTATTGCCATGGTTTATATATGGCATCCAATATACGGTACCTATATATATATACTCCATCGAACGTACTTAATTTGTGGTATTTTCTACCTATATTTATGTTATCCTTCATTCATATTTAATTAAGTACGATATTTAGACATTGATTCTTGGTACATACGTACCCCAAACACTAGTGCTAAACGCGTCCGCTACTGATTATATATATCTTCTATCTGTGTTTATTTGACATCCATTCTAAATTGCCTTTGAAATTTATTTATACCTGTACATAATAAATTTCTTCACACTCTAACAACTTATTAATACGTGTTGATGCAAAATTATTTTACAGGCAATTTTTCAAGATCACTTTCTCCCGGAACCAACGCCCTGACTTCGGATTCCAAAAATAGAGTAAATTCTCCAGCTTTGGATTACGATGATGGCGCCTCCCCATCGATGGCCTCTCCTTCTATCAGCCTTGAAAATTGTCTGCGTTCTCGACCGGGAAATCTAGTAAATTCTAAAATTGACTTTCGGAAATCAGAAACTTGTACTTCACCTCAACCCGCGTGCAGTATCGGTAACCTCAACCTGAGAACTCCTTCGAAAACCATCCCTGAGCCATTATTGGAAACTGAGTTTGACGACGACGATGACATGGTTTCGCCTATTGTTTTTCCTGTATCTTTGGGCTCGAAGGTAAGCGTCCTCTCAGCGTCAACTGTGAAGGAGAACTCACTCGAGTCCGGCGACGAGGATTTAGATCTTCCAGAGACGCCTATCCTGTTCGGTGGCACGAAGGAAATCTTATGGAGAAGTCCTTCTGTGAAAGAAAATTTCCCATCAACTAATGGGTTAAAATTGACAAAAGCTCTTCTTCCAGTACCAGTGATTAGAAGTCCGAAGATCAAAACAAGTGCTAGAGAGTCGAAAAAGCTGGAAATGGAAGTGGAAGGGAACTGTAGCGAGTTGGAGGACCACTCCTGTGTTCTTGAGACGAAGGATTTGTGGGAGAAGTTCCATGAGTTCGGCACAGAAATGATCGTCACTAAGAGTGGCAGGTAAGAAATATTTTCGTGAAAATTTTCGTCAAGTTTTTCCATTGTTGTTTTTGTAATGAAATGACACAAGGCGTGATTGATGATTGATATAATGCTAGATCTTCTATCAGCGTGATTGTTTCCTGCGTTCACGAATGTTTTAGGATTTTCGTTCTCTGATATCATTGCTTGCCACTATCAATTCTCAGTCCTGGACCATTGCTCAAAATCAATTACTAAAATTGCACATCCAATTGTATATCAATATGCTTAATATGCATGCTATTAATATGAAAATAACAAACGCTCGAAAAGTCAGGCATTAAACTTACACGGACAAAAAAATACTCTAGGTATTCTAGATCGTGTGGCGTTTACTGTAACAGGCACTGAAAGGTTCAATAATTAGCCCGGCGGCTAAGACAGGCACCGTGAGCTCAGATCTCTCCGCCTTGAATTATAACGCTCCGCCTCTCAGGGCAATTCATCTCTTACTCTTTTCCCACCTCTAGACTCGTGCTCTCTTCTACACAGCGCCACATGTTCCACTGACAGCTCTCTTTCTGCGAGCGGTTGCCCTCTGGCACTCGGCTACAACCGTCCCCTCCAACCTCTCTCTCTTTTACTCCGCCGGGTTGCCCGCTTTCATGCCTCTTGACAATCTACCTGCATGCGCAAAAGAACCATCATCTCCGACGGGATTCGAACCCGCGGCCTCTGGATTAGAAGTCCAGCGCGCTATCCACTGCGCCACGGAGACGTGCATGTGGATCAAGCGTTTAAATTATATAAACAAAGGTTCAGGGATACTTGAAAATTGCATCTTAAAACTTGCTTGTAGCCGTTGTCCACTTGATAATATCTCCAAGATTCGAGTTTGAACTGTTTGATGGAGAAAATTTTGTTTCCTTCTCTGTTTTGTTATAAGGATTTTTGAATGAGAACATTTAACTGATTTAATATTTTTTATGTTATGGGGTTTCTTCCAAATTAATATGCATTTGGAATTGTTTGTGAATGAACCATTATTTTATGTGAATGAATTTGCATTGTGCAGTCGAGTTCAGTTGTGACTCGGGCAACCGCACCGCGATCTGCCGTCCTGCTTTCTCTTTTGGTCTACTCTCCAGAAATTTGCTCTGGAAACATATACGTGTAGTTTACAGTTTTTTTTCTGAAAAATTGTGAATAATAAGACTATTACGCTTTTTTTGAAGCATGCCAACGCGCAGCCAGCAATTATTCAGTGGATGTAGGGTATATACTCGTGTTTTCATGGGTGCGTATAGGACTGCTGAGCGCAAGGCTATATATAATATGCGTTAGGCCGAGCGCATATATCTAGAAAAATGCATGTAGGTCTCCACAGAGCATATATGCGCAGGTGAGTTATAAGGTATACGCAACGCAGATATACGCGGCGCACTACCACGCTCGTGGCGGTCTCAAGCAGCGGCTGCGCCAGATAGCGAGTTGCAGCTGTGATAAGCCGAACTCCGCAGCTGCCTCGCTCTTCACTTGCTTCATTATTGCGCTCTTCACTTGCTTCATTATTGCGCTCTTCACTTGCTTCATTATTGCGCTCTTCACGTGCTTCATTATTGCGCTCTTCACTTGCTTCATTATTGCGCTCTTCACTTGCTTCATTATTGCGCTCTTCACCCGCTTCAATATTGCGCTCTTCACCCGCTTCATTATTGCGCTCTTCACCTGCTTCAATATTACGCTCTTCACCCGCTTCATTATTTGCGCTCTTCACTTGCTTCATTATTACGCTCTTCACTCGCTTCATTATTTGCGGTCTTTACTTGCTTCATTATTGCGCTCTTTACTTGCTTCATTATTTGCTTTGATAATAATAATAATAACATAATTGCATATTTATAATATCTGATGTCTTGAAAGAAGTCTCGTCCTGCCTGCACAAGTCTCGTCCTGCCTGCACTATATAAGTCCACAAGTCCATCACTGCGCCACCTGGCGTCCATCAGTGGACGGGCTCATCAAGCCCCATTCACCGCACGCAAAGTTTCAATTAATTTCTCTAATTGCCTGTTTTTTTCTCTCTCATTGCTTGTCTTACGTCTCGATTGCACGATATTCTCAAGACAGGCTTAATTGCATGGGTTGTTTATACGCAACATGACGTTTCAAATCTTTAACTTTTTCATTTAAACTGAAATTTCATTACTGAATGCTATTAATGCAAATTAACGTGGATATTCGAGCATAATTGTACATGCTCTGCTTACTTTAAACTAAACTTTCATTACTGAATACTATATTAATGCAAATTAGCATTGGCTTTCGAGCATAATTTTACATGCTGCTCTGTAAAAGACCATTATAAACTACGCAAGTATGGGTATAGGTAAGCTACAAGGCGATAGTATCTGCGTGTGATGAGGTGGATGGTCTCACGTGATCTGCACGGAGCAGCCTTGTCATTTGGATGATTCTATTGTGCTTCTGTAATTGTCGAACAGATCGATCAGGTGATTAGCTTGAGGTGCTCTCTACTCATCAGAACACATGTCATTCTCTATCATTTAATTCATGTCTTGCATGCGTCATTGCTGAACATTCTATTATAGTATATGGTATGTTAAATTTCCGGTGCCGTTAATATGCGTTTGCTGTTTGTTTCCAATATCTGCGTCCATGCATGGATATATTGCACATTATGCTCCAATATTGATTCGCTCCACGAACAAATTCGTTCTTTAATTCGTTCGCTCTTATCAACCATTCGCCAATTTATTGATCTGCCGCTTTATTAGATGTGTAAATGTTCTAATTTAGCTTGAGACATTTTTATCACATGTGTATATTAGATGTGATTGACTGCGTATTGCCGCCCGATTGTCGAGAATACGGCACTATACAGTTGGTTCTTGACTTCATAAGCAGAGACAGCGCTGATGTATTTTCTTGATAAGATTACAAAGGAGCTTATTTTTTTCTTCCACCCGAGAGCTGTACATAATTTTGGAACGCAGGCACGACTGATTTGATCTGTGTTTCTGATACACCGGACACTTCACGTATTGTTAACCCGTTCTGAATCTCTTATTCGTCTCTTGAGTTTGCTATACTGCATGGTTTTACTTCGAGTCAGACTCTCCTTACTGTGAATCCGTGACGAGTCTAATCCTGAGTCTGAGACTGGTCTTACTCTGAAACCGCGACCGGTCTTGCCCTGAATCCGTGACTGGTTTCATCTTAAATCCGCTACTGGTCTTACGCTGAATCCGCGACTGGTATTACTCTGTTTTCATTTGAGAAACATTCGATAACTGAGATTTTCCACCTCTTAGGTGATGTTTATCTTGACTTTCGTCGCTGGATAGCTAATTAGCTGAAGCGCTAGTAAACATGTGACCACTAAACTACCTAACTGGTATATATACTCTGAATCCGTCCGTGACCGGTTTTTCTGTAAATTCGTGCCTTCCCTTGCCCTCAGTTCGCCATTTATTATTCTCTTAATCCACGACATTATTTACCCCGAATCTCACTCTTCTTACCCAAACTTCGCTATCCGTCTTTTTTAGAGTACAAGTTTGTTTTTGACGCAAGATTCGTCGATTGTCTCGCTATTTATGATTAATCTCCTTTTGAACCCGCGATTTGGACGTATCGTTCTGTGCTTCTCATGCACTCCTCGTATCCAACATCTCTCTCCCTGAGAGTCCCCAAGTTCGTGCCACTCCCTGACTCACTGGCGGCGTCCCCTCGAGTCGTTTAGCGTAATGGTGAGGATGCGGCGCACGAGACAGCGATGTGACGGCCGAAGAGAATACCGCGCGACACCTCGCCCGATATGCACGAATTCGTCTTCATTTGCAGGCCCGCAGCGGCAGCGGCGTCGTAGTGTCTTGTGAGCGTCGCGCAAGTGCGAGACACGGTGTCTTGTCTGCCGTGCGTGTGTGGGACTTAGTCGGTCGTGTCTGTGTGGGACCAATTGTGTGTCGTTCCTGTGTAGGACTTTGTCTGTAGGGCCTGTGTGGGACCATTTGTGTGTCGTGCCTGTGTGGGACCTTGTCTGTAGGGCCTGTGTGGGACCTTGTGTGTCGTGCCTGTCTGGGACCTTGTGTGTCGTGCGTGTGTGGGACCTTAATTGTCTGTAGGGCCTGTGCGTGACCTTGTCTGTAGGGCCTGTCTGGGACTTTGTCTGTAGGGCCTGTCTGGAACCTTGTCTGCACGTGTCGTGCCTGCGTGTGATCTTGTTTGTCGATCGTACGTGTGGATGGGACCTTGCATGTTTGCCAATCGCGGAGGACTGCATTGTCCTTGCCTGTCGTGAAGGCATGCCACGGCTGCTTGCCTGTCGTGGAGGCATGCCACGGCTGCTTGCCTGTCGTGGAGGCATGCCACGGCTGCTTGCCTGTCGTGGAGGCATGCCACGGCTGCTTGCCTGCCGTGGAGGCATGGCACGGCTGCTTGCCTGTCGTGGAGGCATGACACGGCTGCTTGCCTGCCGTGGAGGCATGCCAAGGCTGCTTGTTTGTCGTGGAGGCATGCCACGGCTGCTTGTTTGTCGTGGAGGCATGCCACGGCTGCTTGCCTGCTGTGGAGGCATGCCACGGCTGCTTGTTTGTCGTGGAGGCATGCCACGGCTGCTTGCCTGCCGTGGAGGCATGCCACGGCTGCTTGTTTGTCGTGGAGGCATGCCACGCCCAGTCAATCAGGTCTTGATCTGTCTCTTATACACATCTAGATGTGTATAAGAGACAGATTGCGCTCTTCACGTGCTTCATTATTGCGCTCTTCACNTTAGAAGGAAGCTCGACTGCTTTTACGAGTGTCTTTTATTTAATTCACTCGTGACGTGATCTGCAGCTCAGATGGAGTTAAAGTTTTACAACAAAAGATGTTCTGCACTTAGCTCTTAAGATCTAAACTAGGGTCCCTAATCGAATTATTTTCAGGACAAGTTTGTGGCAGAGACGCGCCACCCTAACTTAATTCATTCTCTAACAACTTAATTCAGGACCCTTGAAGATTATTAATGAACTTAT